AAAGAATTTTTTTTCCCACCATCCATATTTAAATTCAAAAATTTCGAATTTTAGAACAGATGACGCATTCCAACATAAAAAGCAATTAAATCAGCTGATTTCTTTTTGGATACCAATGTGATGGGCAGTGGGACATTCAATGTCTTGTCTGCCACCACAAATAGTCATTTAATTATTTGATTTAAAGATTAAAATTCGATTTTTAAAAGAATTTCTTTTCCCACCATCTATATTTAAATTCAAAATTTTAAACCATTTTAAATTTCGAATTTCAGATCAGACGACCAATTCCAACATAAAAAGAAATTAAAACACTTGATTATCCAATTAAAATTTCGAATTTCAAAACCATATTTATTAATTAATTATTCTTTTATGTCTGTCACCACAAACGGTCATTTAATTATTCAATTACAAAATTAAAATTCGATTTTTAAAAGAAATTCTTTTCCCACCATCCATATTTAAATTAAAAAATTTTAAACCATTTCAAATTTCGAATTTCAGATCAGACGACCAATTCCAACATAAAAAGCAATTAAAATACCTGATTATCTAATTTATTTTGTCTGTCAGCTCTCTTGATTCTTGATTGTTATGATATTTGAATAAATTATATAACAAAGATAATGTCTTTGTTATATGCTTATTGTGTATATATTTTTTTAAAAATAACCATAACAAAATTGTGAATTGAATGACGATCAGGTCTTCAACAATTGTGAAATTTGTTTTTGTTTCTATTGATCTCCATGAATAGAGATTGTGAATGCATGTCCGTGAAAAAAGTTTTCTTTTTATTGAATTTAAAATTTCGAATTTCAGATTGTGCAAAATAAATACATTATTTCGAGATTTAATTGATAAACCATTTAAAAATTTCGAATTTCAGATTGTGCAAAATAAATACATTATTTCGAGATTTAATTGATAAACCATTTAAAAATAAATTCAATTTTTAAAAGAATACTGGTATGATAGTTTATCTGATAGAGTTTTCTTTTTATTGAATTTAAAATTTTGAATTTCAGATTGTGCAAAATAAATACATAATTTCAAAATTTAATTGATAAACCATTTAAAATTTCGAAAATTCAATTTTTAAAAGAATATCGGTATGATAGTTTATCTGATATGATAGCTTTGGTTTTGGGATTTAATTTATTTTGTCTGTCAGCTCTCTTGATTCTTGACTGTTATGATATTTGAATCAAATATATAACAAAGATAATGTCTATATAACAAAGATAATGTCTTTGTTATATCATTATTGTATATATTTTTTTTTAAAAATAACCATAACGAAATTGTGAATTGAATGACGATCAGGTCTTCGACAATTGTAAAATTTGTTTTTGTTTCTATTGATCTCCATGAATAGAGATCGTAAATGCATGTCCGTGAAAAGAGTTTTCTTTTTATTGAATTTAAAATTTCGAATTTCAGATTGTGCAAAATAAATACATAATTTCGAAATTTAATTGATAAACCATTTAAAATTTCGAATTTCAAATGAGATGACCAATTCCAACATAAAAAGCAATTAAAACAGCTGATTTTTTTTTGGATACCAATGTGATGGGCAGTGGGACATTCAATGCCTTGTCTGCAACTATTATTCGATTTAAAAATTAAAATTCAATTTTTAAAAGAGTTTTTTTTTTCAATTTACCCAATAAAGAAAGTTTGTATATAACCAAATTGTAGAATTAACCAGGGAGTGACACTTGGCAAAACTTTCTAGCAGTGAACTATTTTTGGAGAGCTATTTCTCTCAATTGAACCGTTGGATCAACCTCAAATTTAGTCGGCATATTTCTCTCATATGATACTTCAATCTGACCGAACCGATTTTCAAGTTAACCCTCTAGTATGAGATATGGTTGTCAAAAAATGGTTGTCCACATCGAAAAAAACTAAATTTCCTAAGAAGCCCCACATTGCCCACTCATCATTCCTTCCTCCTCCTTTCCCTTTATGTAAAGAACTCATTCCCCTTCCTTCGAACACACACATTGCCCACACACTCATTCCCCTTCCTCCTCCTTTAATTACTAATTTTCTCTACTTTTTTTTTCCATTTTAGAAAATTTGGTGTGATTTTCCACAACTTGGCTCCATACACCAAGTTTTGATCATCTTTGAGGTAAGTTTATTTACCTCCTCCTTTAGTTAATAATTTTTGTTTTTGTATGCTTTTATATTCTTTATTTGTTTTGAATTTTCTTATAATTGTCTATTTATTTTATGTTTTTTGTGTTTTTATTAGAAGTTTTCTTATATAGCTTTTTAGAAATTATATTAGGTATTGGTTTGGGCGTGACACCTTGTTAATCTCAATTTTTTGGGTCATTTTGGTTGAGACAGCTTGATGACCCAAGTCTATTTCAAATTTATTATTTTATATTATTTTATTTGTTTTTTTATAATTAGGATTAATTTTGGCGTGACGCCTTGTTAATTTCCTAGTTTTTTCGGTCACTTAGGTTGAGACAGCTTGATGACCCAAACTTATTTAAATTAAATATATTAAATTTCAATTTGTTTTACCTCTAGGGTTATTTAACATATTTTATTTTCTTTTAAAATTTCTTGCTTTTATTTTAAAAGGGATTAAATGAGTTGTGACAACTTGGTAATCTGAAACCTTCAAATCTGAAACTTCTAAATGAACTATTCATTATTATTTTTATTTTATTTTTATTTTTTTAAAAAAATCAATCAAACACACAAATATTTTCAAAGAACGACGTGGTTTTGTATTCCTCACTGCATCAGAGGATGCGTCGGAGCGGAACTCTTTCCGTCAAGCTAAAATAAAATTTTAATATTTTAGTCTTCATTCTTCTTAAATAATCGTATTTATTTTAAGGGTTAAAACAAATATTTTTAAAAGCTATTAATAATTCACATAATTAATTTATGGTAACCGTTTTTAAACGGATGTGTTAGGGGTGTAGTGAGATTAAGTTTCCACCCTTCTTTGCGCATAATTAGATTCTCAAATCTTTGATCTATAATTTTAAAAACCAATTTGTAATAAAAGGTTTATCAATTTTTTTAAAGTAAATAAAATTGACGGTGACTCCATTGGTTTAATTTTTAATTTCGGGTCGTTACAATTATCATGCATACCCTTATCTTCCGGGAAATATTGTAACATTTTCCTAAAATATAATATCTTAATACTAAGGGAGATAAATTAAGCTTTAGCACCTTAAAAGGAGTGATATAAGAAACATATATTTGAATATATTGATAAATGAAATAATCTAAATAAGCATTTAATAAATATTGCAAAAAGTGTTATTTTTCGCTTATATTAATTAGTAGAGAAGATTAATAAAAGAAAGAAAGAATAGGCTTAAAATAAGAAAAGATTGATGAATGGGAACTTTTAAGATGGGGAACGTAGGTAATCATGATATAAAATTTATTTAGTCATGCTTCCACTTACAACTATTCATGGTTTTAGAAAACACACACACTTAGGTTGTTTCGTTTAAATTAGCTTAAGTGTGTGTGTGAGTGTATTTTTTAAAGCATGACTAGTTCGATCGCGTGTTTTTTTGGTTCATGCATTTGCTTAATTATTTGTTAGATTAAGTTAAATAATAATTCATTTATACTTAATTAAATTTTTTTATTTAACATTATAGTTCATTGTAATTAAATTATTATTTAAACTAATTTATCAAATAATTAGCCAACATTTAACTACTTTTCAAGCGAAGGATTTTTAATTCAAGGCATACTATACATGCAGCGGCAAATATATATTAAATTATATTTGTACATAGGACATTATTTCAGATTAAACAGGCACACAATTTTTCTTATTAATCACGTCGACTTTTTTATTCTAATTAATTTTTTCCTTGGGCAAAATATAAATCACATCATGTTCTTATTAAATACATATGACATTAATTTTATTTTATTTTTATTTATTGAATGTGAGAAAGATAGGGACAGAACCGTATAAGAAATTAAAGTTTTATATTCTTTAGGGATGGAAAGGTTAAAAGGGGGAAATAAATAGGGGCATTCCAGTCAATGACAAAGGAACTGTCATTCAAAGTAAAAGTATGGTGTCAAGAAACAGAATCATGTTATTACTTCAATTTTTATCCATGAAACTTTTTCCTGTCTCCATCTTAACCTACTGTTCAACCTTCCTTTGCTATTTCCTCAAAAGCCCTAACACCCCATCCTCTTTCTCCTTCTCTGTCAACCTACCAACATAAGGAGGAATATTAATATAACCATTAATACAAGAGATGAAAGTTTGAGTTTGCACCACCCTTTTAAGGAAATAAAAAAAAAAAAAAGCTAAAAATCCTTTGCAATCTCAGAATTCAAAAGCTGCTAAAAAAACCAAAACAGCTAGCCTTAGGAGCTTTCTAGTATTGCTCAATAAAAACTACAACTGCAAACAGCAAAGAGGAAAAGTCCATTCACCCTCCCATCAATCTCATCACTTCCTCAATCACCAAAAAAATCTTCTTTTGCTTCACCATTTGGAGGTCCATATAATATAACCTCTCTCTTCACTTTCTCTCTCTCCAAATAAAATAAAATAAAATAAATAAACCAATATGTAATATCAAACAAGAATCAGAGTTTGTTTCCTTCTCTCTTTCCTTTTCATTTTTTTTCTTTCAAGGTAGTTGTTGCTTTCGTTAACAGTAACTTCTAAAATGAAAAAACATTAGAAAAAAGAAGAAAAAAAAGAAAAAGAAATTTTATCAGATAACAACACTGCTTGTCCACTGTTGTCCAAATTATAAGTATAGTAATTTTTTCTCTGAGCTGATCTCCATTCCTTACTCTCACACTCTCTCTCTTGTCACTGTCTTAATAGTCAGGAACCCTAGAACAAGAATCCAGGTAAGTAAGCACTGTACCAAAGAGACCAAAAACAAAAATTTCAAAACAACTTTGGATCAGCAAAGCTAAAAGGGTCAAGCTAGCTTTCAATGGATTCAATGCAAGAATTTATGGATTCATGTAAACCAGAATTTATGGATTCTTGTAACAGTGACAACAACACCTGCAGCCTCATCACCACCATCACCAACACCAACACCACCAGCAACAACAGCTTAGGTGGTAGCTCTTCCCCTTCTGCTTCCCCCACAAGTAGCCGCTATGAGAACCAAAAGCGCCGTGACTGGAACACCTTTGGACAATACCTCAAGAATCACCGACCCCCTTTATCCCTCTCTAGGTGCAGTGGTGCACATGTTCTTGAATTTCTCAGGTATATCTATATATCTATAAACCATCTAGTTTTCCATGCACCTTTTTTTTTTTCTTTCATTTTTCATTTTTCTTGTTGAATTGTTATTGTGATGTATATAGGTACTTGGACCAATTTGGAAAGACTAAAGTCCACACTCCGATCTGTCCCTTTTATGGCCATCCAAACCCTCCAGCTCCATGTCCATGTCCTCTTAGACAAGCTTGGGGTAGTCTTGATGCTCTCATAGGTCGTCTCAGGGCAGCTTTTGAAGAAAATGGAGGAAAACCTGAAACCAATCCATTTGGAGCTCGTGCTGTGAGGCTTTACCTTCGTGAGGTTCGTGATCTTCAATCCAAAGCAAGAGGAATCAGTTATGAGAAGAAGAAGCGGAAGCGTCCACCACCACCACAACAACAACAACAATCAATGTCACTACCTCATCTTCATCATCACCATAACCACCAGCTTCCACCTCCAGGTGCAGCTCAATAAGGCTATTCTCATCATTCCATGGAAAAATTCAACTCTCTCACTTCGATCCAAAAACTTGGTTCCCACTCATCTTCGTCGATCTCTATGCTTTTAGGTCATTCTCTAATTTTAGTACTATATCTAGGGTTTTCTTTTTTTATCTTTTTTCTCAGTTATTAATTATTCTGAAAGATTTCTAGTCCAAATAGACTTTTTGTCTTTGTATCCTATTTGCTGTGGCAGAAAGAAAAGGTTAAAGATCTGGGATATATCATGAATTTGCTTTTAAAGAACACAGCGTGTTACTGATATAGTAGACTGCTAGTGGGAATAGCTGAAAGTGATTGTGAGAGTGAATGTACATGGAGGCGATGATCCTTGTGGTGAATTCAAAGCAACGAATTATATATAGTTCTATGTGTATGAACTTCTATCATCTATATATATATATATCAAGCTTAAACTTGCAGATTATGTGTGTGTTGGATCATTCTTTCTTTTGGGTTTTAGTCTTATTTTGCTAATTTTGAATGGCTCCATTTTAATCGTTTGAAGCTATAGGTAGCAATTCTTTCTCTTCCGTACATGTTCATGTCTACAACATTATGTGCATCTTCTAAATATGTCTCATAATGATGATCATTTATGGTTTTTAATCCATAAATTAAAATAGTACTCTTTTCACTGCCATTTTTCTTCGAACTTGTCACTTTTTACTGCTTCACTGTCTCCTCCAATTGTATTTAGTGGAGAAAGAATAATAATAGGAGCCCTTGGAGTTTAATCATAATCGGTTGAGTTTCAGACTGACAAAGTTTTATGGTTTCTCTCCCATCAAGACTCTCTGCTGACCGTTACCTGGGTCAATTTAATAATGGTTTATATATATGTGCAGTGGTGCTGTCATTTCAACTGAAGAGAAATGACGGAAAAAGGAAAATTAATGGCAGACAATTAATCCCTCTATGACTAAACTTCTATTATTACTTACTAGTTGTATACGTGTCCTGATTAGTTTGATCATTTGATTACCAAGATTTACAATTAATCAAAATTATTTTCTAGATCATAAAATGTCATTAATTTCCTTGTTTCCATTTTAGTTTTGGTTATATATGCCATCCAGATTGGAAACTCTTTAATGAAATCACACTACCCACCCTGAATGAACATACTGTTGAATTAATGATATAACAATTAGGTATGCTTAAATTTTCACCTTAGTCAGAAGCAACCAAGGACAAAAGCATAGTACCTCTACAAATCAAATACTTGGCTTCTTTAAGTCTATTAAGCAAACTTGTCGGTAAGAGAATACAAAAAGGTCACAGTAACGGCAGAAGAAAAAAGTGAGAGGTAGAGAGCAAGTAGTATCACGTAACTGTAAAGAATCTTGTGATATATCATCTCAAAAGTTAGTTTAAAGGATGTGAGTGCTCAAGATCTTATAAAGGTTATATTAATTGCCCATCCAATCAATGTGAGACTATATATCTTAACACGCCCTCTCACGCAAGAGCCATTTAGGCTAGAAGCGTGAAAATTGCACAGGCCCATTTTTTGTTTACCTTTTTTGTGATTTTTTTATTTTATTTCCACTTTTTTAAAGCGGGGAACGGTGAGGCTCTGATACCATGTTAAGAACCTTGAGGTCACCACCCAAAAGCTAGCTCAAAGGGTGGGAGTGCTCAAGGCTTTATAAAGGCCATATTAGTTGACCATCCAATCAATGTGGGATTATATATCTCAACACGCCCCCTCACGCAAGAGCCCTTTAGGCTAGAAGGGTGGAAATTGCATTAGCCCATTTTTGGTTTACCTTTTTGGGTTTTTATTTTTATTTTAATTCCACTTTTTAAAGCGGGGGACGGTGAGGCTCTGATACCATGTAAAGAATCTTGGGATACACCACTACAAAAGCTAGCTCAAAGGATGAGAGTGCTCAAGACCTTATAAAGGTCACATTAATTGCCCATCCAATCAATGTGAGACTATATATCTCAACAATATCATCGATATAGAAATTTTCTTAATCAAATGATCCACTGGACAAACCTGTCCAATAAAATATAATTTGGGCCATCTCTCCTTCCCTCTTTTTGGATTTTGTGATTATTTTGGCTCAAAAGCAAGAATTTTTCCTCAATCCATCTGTTCATGAAGAGGCGCCTATTGTATCTCTATTTAGCCAAGGTATAGGACACATGATAGATGCTAGAGAAATTAGCGAACGTTCTTATTTTCTTTTTAAGTCATTCCTATATATAATTATATACACACCTTTTAATAATCAATGCTTATCACAGAATCACTTAAAATAAGGACTACATAATGAAAGTATTAGTTTTATGATTTCATAATCATTTGTTTATTAATCAGTAGTATTCACGAGGTCTGACTTCTTTATTGTTTATTTGTGTTTGATTCTCAAATGATTATTCTAACGATTCTAGCTATTTTCCACTTGGTATTGCTAGTTCCATAATAAGCAACTATTTGAATTTTTTATTTTTATTTTTTATAACTGCTCTATATATTAATTATAAAATCTGAGTAGCCATTTTCTGTAGTTTTATATCTAGGATTCTCTTTTCTTGTGAACATATTGATGCAAGAATCATGTAGTTTTTTTTTTAATTAAAGCTGTGTCCATACATGATAACTTCATCTGTAAATTATTGCAGCAATGAATTAACCACATTAAGCTCTCATTTTTATTTACTTTTTCTGCACACATGTAGGAGTTGTATACCTTTTAGTGGTGGGATTATAATCTGTATAAGGACTTGACTTCAGCAACAAAATAGTGTCAGTGTAATTTAAACCCCTAACTTTACCAATAAAATTCATTCATGTAAAAAACTGAGACTAAAAATTGATAGTTAACTAATAAGTTTGATTCCTGATAAATGATAATCGATGATTATCAAAAATCAACAGTTAGAATTTAGTGTCATATTTTAAAATTTAACACCGGTGTGTCAAAGAATCCTATCCCATCAGTGGCGAACCCAGAAAAAAAAAATTATGTCCGCACATTTTAGTGGTGGGAGTTCGGGGGCAGAGTCCCCGAATTTTTTTTTTTATAAAAATAATTTAGATTAACGCTTTATGTACAAGGTTATGACCTCGTCTCTAGAGATTAATGAGAATGTCAGATCTGCAATCAGTCCTCCCTTTTTAGAAAAATGAAAAAGGAAACAAAGGATGAAGAGAGCATGAGAATAAGTACATGACAGGGGAGGAATAATAAGTTTTCTCTCTAATCAATTTGAGTTATTACGTTGTATTAATCATCTACATAGGTTGCTACGTTGCTAACTAATATAAGAGTAAATACTATTTTTGGTCCTTAACAAAAAATTCGGTCCCCACTTTAGTCCCGTACAAAAAAAAATTTAGTGACCTGGTCCCTATGAAATTCAAAGTGGACATATTTTAGTCCTTTTGAGCGACTAATGTAGGTCTTTTTTGAATTTGTGAGGGATCACGATTTTAACTAAATTGATCCACTTTGAATTTCTTAAGAACCTCAGACTACTTTTTTTTATAAGGACTAAAGTGGAGACTGTATTTTTTGTTAAGTACTTAAAATGGTATTTACTCCTAATATAAATATTAATGAACAAAGAGATAATTAAGAACCTGCAACACAAAAAAAAAAAAATTAAACTCCCAATTTTCATGTCCGCACTTGCGGACATGTGCGTCAACGTCGGTCCGCCAGTGTACCCCATATATATATGGGGTCTGTTGTAAGAATAAAAAGTTTCACTTCTCATCTCAATCATTAATTTTCGTATATATCACGATTATAATTTGTTAAATATTATTATTTAATTAATGAGTATAATTCAAAAATTGCAACTATCAAATGGATGGAAATCAACGATTGAAATGAGGAGTAAAACTTCTTATTCTTACACTAGAGTCAAATAATCATTCTGCTCTATATATAGAGAGAACAATAATTATTTTATTTAAATTACACTCTCAATTTTAGTTATTGATCTTTTTTTTTGTTGATAAAACAAAAGACCTAAGCCCAAAACAAACAAAAAACAAACAAACTACTCCCTACAAACCACTGTCCTAGTCCTACTGACAACAGCTATATCACCAAGAAGAAAATCTGAAGATCCGGAGGAGGATCCTTCCAAACTTGATACATGATATTGATATCCATCTCCAGAATGGAATTAGCAATCCAATCTGCACAGACATTACCTTCCCTGTAAGTATGCTTGAGAGCCACAATCCAATCTTTATTCAGCCATGTCCGTATACGAGTTATCATATGACACTCACGAACTGCTTCTACATCCTTGGAAAGCACAGTGATCACGCTAGAAGAGTCACTTTCAATGATAATTTTTCTGTGAGCTTCATTCTAGGCCAACTCCAAACCCCTAAGAACACCCCATAATTCTGTATGCAAAGAAGAACACATACCAAGCCTATAAGAGAAACCCCCAAACAGCTCCCTCGATAATCTCGAATCAAACCACCACAAGCAGCCATCCCAGGTTTCCCTCTAGACACCCCATCAGTGTTGATTTTACCTGCATCTAATGATTCACATATTTAATAAATTAGAATAGTTAGATACAAGTAGATCAACAGTTAAAATTTGATATAAAATTTGTTATTCTAATTACTCCTCTCCAAGATTGTTAAAAGATTTTAAGTAAAATCGGAAGAGAGTTAAAAAATCGTAACACGTAAAATCGTAATGTAAAAAAATCGTAAAAACGTTTAGAATATTAATAAATTAGTTTTGATGAAAAAAAATCGTAAAAACGTAAAATTATAGTAATAAATTGAAATTTTAACAACCATGCTCTCTGTATTTAAATCGATGAATGCACGCACGCATGCAAAATCTTTCTTTTTGTAGCCATTTGAATCCTCCAACCTTCATGTCCATGCGCTCTTAGACAAGCCTACGTAGCCTTGTTGCGCTCACTAATTGTTTGCAGCTTTCAAAGAAAATGGAGGGAAGCCTGAAATCCATCCAATTG